AATCATCAATCTTTTAATAAGCAGTGCCATTGTTAGTGTAAAGTTTTGGGGAGAGACAATATGTGTTGACCATAGAATATTAGGTCGTTACTTTGGTTTATCAAATAAAGACTTGTGCTACATGGAAAGATTGTTTTTAAATGGTATCAATTTCGAATTATATACCAACAAAAATCAAATTATAGAATTCTTAAACTCTATCGAAAAAGAAAAAGAAAATTTTGCTTTAGAAGGTCAAGTTTTATAATAGAACCATATGTATATAAATCCAATTAACAATCAAAAATCATAAATCAAAAAAAAAAAAAAATCAATAACAAACAACCCACCTTGTATAGATAAAAATAGTTTTCTTATTTTTTTTTTCTTTAAAATGAAAAAAAAAAAAAAAACTTATATATAATTATAATTTTTTTGTTTATTTACTAAACTAAAAAAAAATCGAAAAATAAAGAAATTGTACATATCCCTATTACCTTTAATTCTGATTTTTTTTTTATTGAATTTTTTTATTATATTTTATTAATTATTTACAAAAGAAATTAAATTTTATAATTAAGAAAAAAACTAGATAAATGTTTTTTTTTATTTTTTATTTACAATTATCTTTTTTTTATTTTTAATTTTTATTATTTTCTTTATTAATTTTGTTTACAGTTATTGGCTATTTATATTATCCATTGTTGTTTTTTATCTATCCAAAACCTATTTGGTAAATCTATATAGCTGATAAATAGTTTTTAAATTGGTTTATAATAAATATTTATTCTCTATTATTTTCTAATTGTCTGTAATATTCTTCTCTTTGTCTAACATTGTTAGCAACATAACCAAACTTGAAAAGACAACCAGCGCCAACACCAACAATAATACCAACACCAATATCTTTTACTAATTGAATTTTAATTAATTGTGGTAATGGATGCATTCTAAAATAATATAAAAAAAATTTTGATGTTAAATTTTTGAAGTTACTTTATTTTAGATATCCAAATATACATACCTTTAAAATGATATTTTTTTCTATATGATAAAAGAAAAAAAAAAAAAAAAAAAAAAAAGAAAGAATAAAAATATAAAAAAAAAATTATTTAAAAAATAATAATAAATATAATATTATTAATAAAAAAAAAAAAAAACTCAATCACTATTGTAACTCATTGTAAATTTTATTGAAAATAGCTATTTTTTCTGGGAGTCTATAATGAAAAAAAAAAAAAAAGATGAAAAAAAAAAATTTTATGTGATTGTTTTTTTCTATCAATGAAATTTCATATATTGATTTGATTTATCTATTTTTTTATTTTATTTTTTTATTTTTTTTCTACCTTTATTTTTTTCTTTTGAACGCTCTGTATTTTATTTTTTTTATTTTTTTTTTTTTTCCTTTTAGTTTTAAATATTTGATAAGAATTATTTAAATAAAAAAAAATATTTTTGATCAACCCTAAAATAATATCAACAATATAAAAAACATTATAGATAATAACAATTAATAACTATAATAAAATAACTAAAATAATATGAATAAATAATAATTTAAATAGTATGTTATTGATATGTTTTTGTGTTATTTATATTTTAAATTTTTTTTTTTTATATTTTTATTATATATTATAGAAACATTTGTTTTTTTTTGGATGTTATTGGTTATAAAATTATTACAAAACAATATTAAAGATTTATATTTAATTGTTTTGGCTGTAGAAAGCTTCTCTTTCTCTGTGGATTCTAGTAACGTAAACTTCCTAAAATTTTTAAAAATATAGTGTTAGTAAGGAAATGGTTTTACTATTTTATTATTATAACTATTATTTAATATTACTTTGAAATAGAGACCTGGAATTAAACCAAGAACGAGACCGTAACCAATATCTTTAGCAATTTGGACTTTAATAATTTGTGGTAATGGATGCATCTAAAATTTAGAAATAATATATTTAGTATTTAAAAATATTGAAATTGAAATGAAAATGAAAATGAAAATGAAAATGAAAATGAAAATGAAAATGAAAATGAATATGAAATCAATTTAAATAAAAAAAAATAAAACCTACTTTAATATTTGAATGTAAATAGGTATATAATGAGAATGAAAAAAAAAAAATTTTAAAAATTTTAAAAAAAAAAATTAAAAAAAAAATAATAAAAAAATAATAAAAAAATAATTTTTTTTTTTTACGAACTTAGCTCAATAGTAAAATGTATAACTCCAAAATAAGCAAACTGATTGAGAAATATTTTATATTTAATTCTCTATTTTTTACAAACAACAGAAAAAAATATAAAGAAAAATATAAAGAATATAGTTTAAATAATTATATTCTTCATTAATCAACATTATTCTTTTTTTCAATTTATAATTCCAAAAAAAAAAAAAAAATGGTTGATTAATTTAATTAAGATTTATATTAAAATTTATTAATTTTAAAATAAAAGTTATTAATTTTTAGTAAATTATATTTTAAAATTAATTCATTCAAATTATAAATTTTGATTTACCAAAACTCTGTTTAAAAATTTATTGAATTATTTGTAAAACAAATTTGGGTTTATTAGAGACCCAAATTTGAATTTATTTTCAAAGGAAATAAACATTATAATTTATTTATTTATTATTATTTTTTAATTAAGGGTGGTTTAAAAAAAAAAAATTTTAAATAACTTGGTTAAAAAAACAAATATATACAAAATATATTATTATTTCCAATAAAAAATTATATTTATTGTGATATCCTAAAAAAAAAAAAAAAAAAAAAAAAAAAAAAAAAAAAAAAAAAAAGTTGGGCGCTAAAAATTTTTTTTTTTTTTTTGTTTAAAAAAAAAAAAAAAAAAAAAAAAATTTCCCAAAAAATAACCCGGGGTAAAAAAAAAATTAAACCCAAAAAAAGGGGAAAAAATTTTAAATAAATTTTAAAAATAAACCCAATTTAGGGTTTTTTTTTTTTTTAGGGCAAAGAAATTAAAAAAATTTTTTA